AGCATATTCAGCCTCGTTCAATGCGTTGTGTCGTTTCGTACGTTCTTCATTCGAATCTCGTGTTATACTAAAATGATAGACTTTCGCACTAATTCGGGAAAGGCTGACGGCGACAATGGAAAATACAGTAACACTAATATACCAGGTACGCAAAAAGATCTCGAGCAATATACTCGATATTTATTGAGCTGCTCCAAACTTTTTTCGTCGCGATCTTTTTAACTGTCTTTTTAACAAAAAGTTTCCTTGGATATCGACGAGTAAAATATTGGCTGTCATGTAATTACGTAATCTAAAATTATATCATCACGAATGCTTATTTGCTTATTTAATTATTTACATGTGTAACGAGATGCGTTTATAACCTCTTCATTGAGGTTATGAATATATCGTCATAATTTCTCTTTTTAAATATCAATGACATTTATAATTATAAGACTGTCGAAAGAGAATACACGTTGTGTACAAGTATTATACAAATTGATAAAAAATAGAGAACTATATTTTTAACTGATGTGAAGTAAAAATAATCGTATGCAAATTCCAGCTTTAGTTTTGCACTGTTACAAGACAAACAAATAATTGAGATGCAGTTTAAACTAGAAATTGTAAAATTTATAAAAAAGAAATATTAGACATCAAGATCTAAATAATGTCCATTTGACTGAATAACATCCTTTTTTACTGTAAATAACTTCAATCTTGTGAACTTATTCTTCATCTTTTGCTCATTTTTACAAGAAAAAAATGAAAAGTTAAATTGAGATTAAAAATAATCTACATAGTGTGTGTATATATATATATATACAGGGTGTGTTAGTTAAGTATGTTGTCATACTCAATAGAGCGATTCTTTGGTTTATTTCAAGTAAAAAAGTCTATATAAACGTGTATCTTAAACGGCTTAGTTTTTGAAATACAGATGAATGTTTGCAAATGTTTGATGAATTGATTGATGAAATTGCATTGGGAGATATCTTCCTGCATAAATACGCCTTGCTTCACGTGAGTTACCATTCACACAATCATAAACAAAGTGACAAAGTCAAAACTAAAATTTTCTAGATCATCAGACTTAAATCCTTTGGATTATTTTCTTTGGGGATATCAGAAATCATTGGTTTATATCACACCAATTGATAATGAGAATGATTTGAGGAATCGAATAGTTGCTCCATGCGAGACAATACGTAACACACCTGGTATCTTTGAGCATGTACATCAATTTTTGAGAAGAAGGCTTGGGATGTATCGTGGCGCAAGGTGGACATTTTCAACAATTCATTTAATTGTTTTATTTCATCAGAAGAACTGAAGCCTGTTTTTGTTTTTCTATTTTTTACTAGTTTTTGACTAGTTTAAGCTGTATTTCTTTCAAATAAACAGATTATTACTACACGTTTAAATTTTTTTATTTCAGAAACTAAGCCGTTTAGAAAACATGTTTTATATATATATATATATATATATATATATATATATATATATATACA